TGCATCTTCGCACGGCAGCTCGTGTGTTGGCCAATTATTCGTGAAGGTGGAAGAAGCTGGAAACTAAAGATGGAGACTCAGTTATTTATAGCAAAAACAGTCGCCTTACCACTGAGGAAAATCAGTTCCAGAAAAATCGTGCAGCACGTAGCAGTTCTTGGAAAACAAAATGCTTATTCGTATGCGGCTTAAAGTTTACTTGGCGGAGTGCATGTTTTCACTAAGCTGGAAGCGCACAGTCAATGATTGGCTAGTCGTGTGGAATGAGTTAAAATGTCGACGATTATACCGTAACAGGGCAATCATCAGAATCATCGTTATTATTGTTTGAATTGCCATCGGCATAAGTACCAGAATCAGCCCTTTCACTGCAAATAAAACAAATGCTGCTTGATTAATGGAATTTAGAAGTTTCTAGTAAAATTAAAATTTAGAGATTAAAATCGAAGTGTTCCGTCCCTGTAGTTCAATTTTGGATGTAAATCGAGCGGAAAAGTTTCTTGTCAGAAGCTCAGCATGTCTTTACATGCTATATAGGTGTAAGTAGGAACTGAATTTGAAGACTCTTAATCGCACATGCACAGAAGACATCTTCCTAAAATTTCAGCTTTTTATGTTGACTGAATCCCGAGCTAGTAATTTTCCCGCCAAAATTTTTGAGACTAGCGCGAGCTTGAAAGTTGACATCACGTTCCCTGAAATCACATCTGACCAAGAAAACACTGATGAAGTTTCAATACCTAAACTTAGCTGTCAACTTTAAATACCACAGACACGCATACACACATACAAACATAGATATATGAACATATACAAAAACAGATATGTGGGTCGTCACAATGCGCGATTTTTCATTTGCATAAATATGCAAAAATGCATAAAAAGTGCCGAAAAATTCCAAAAATTATAAAAAATTAACGAGAAATAGATTTAAAAAATTCTAAATACTTCAGAGTATCAAAGAAAAATTTTTGAAGTGCTTATTTTAAAAAAATTTTAATCATAGACAAAGCCTCAGGAACGTACGATAATAAAGCCAGCACTGCAATAGACATCCCAACAATGTATACATTCCCTGAAAATTACTCTGTCGTTACAGCCACTGATGCAGATGTTGGAAAATTATTACTGAACAATGTAAAAGAATTGCTTCACGCATTCCGCATAAATCCCATAAGCTATATGTTTCATTATCAGCGAAAACAATTTCCATATACGAAAACAAGTTCGTAAGTGACAATATTAATGAAACTGCATACCGTCTTGTGATATTCC